CTCTTTCCAAACCACAACCAAATACCAAACTAGCTCTAAATATTTCCTTACGCTTCTCAGAACATGGAAATAATGGTCCTGGTTTCCCATTGATCGTATGTGCATCTGACATATTTGGTGGCAACCCCATGTTGTTCCCTTGGTTTTCAATCTCCTCCACGTCATTGTTCCACCATTCACCTATTGCATGCACAAACAATTATAGTTATATCACCCTTTTGTCGTTCCAATATCAAGAGTACTAGACATTATTCAAACTGACCTAGGATAATTTCAAATTCTCTAGCTGGCTGTGGGAAAGGAAATGGTGTTCCAGGTTTAGGCATAATTACTATTGCTCCATACACAGTGGCCCTCAACCACAGAATGTGTGCATGCCACCATAGGGTTCCTCTCTGCCCCGTAACATTGAAATCATAAGTGTAACTACTTCCTGTCTGAATTGGACACTGTGTGATATAAGCTGGTCCATCCGCCCAACCATTACGGTATTGTTTAAGTCCATGCCTGTAATGAGAAATATGGTTGTGAGAGAAATTAACGTGTACATATGCATGCTAGTACAAAAGCTTCACCATGCATGTTTCTGGTATTGCAAAATTGGCCTACCAATGGATCGACATGTTGTATGGTGCATGATTTGTGACGTTAATCAGGACTCTATCTCCTTCCCTAGCATATATAGTTGGCCCTGGGAACCTCCCATTTACTGTTACAATGGGCTTTGCATGGCATAGTCTACTCACATTCGCCACTTGAACCTGTAGAAAACACAAAAGTGCTATCAAGGGAACTTTGAATAAGCATGTTGGTTATGATATATGATATCAATATAATTCTAACTCACATCAAAGTGGTATTTCTTTATGGCAGCTTCAGATGAAGAAGACATTAAGCCAACAAAGAAGAGAAAGGTTAAGATGACAGAATTGAAACACCCCATGCTTGCCATTCTGTCTTTGATTATTCGATATCTTGGCTTGTATGGATGCAAGTAGTGTGGTGCATATGTTCAAGTATTTATATGAACAGGGAGAAGGTAAGATGGCTTATCAGTTTGTTGCATGGAAAATTAAAAACAACTTAGGCTCATTAGGTGGTGCTTTAATGAGCTGTGCGTAAAAGCTTGTAAGCGAAATGTGACAAAAATTGTAAAGGCACTGTGTTCCGTAGACTGAGAAAAGAAAACTATTTAGAAATGTCATAATTTTTTATACTACACGTTTTCAAAAATTGAACTGAAAGTGAGAGGAACTTGAAATCTAACCTAGTAATCTACCTTAATAAATACTCTGGCTCCAGGCTTTATCGTTAAGGAGAAGTAATGGCTTAAGGCCTAAGGGTGAGTGCTAATGCCAGCAATTCCTTGTGCCACCCAAGTGGAAAAAAGTTCCTTCACCACTTGTTTCAGTTAATGCTGTGATTCCATTATGGTTTTTGAGGGTTGCCCATTAGAATTGCGGTGAAAATTTTTGCTAAATATATTTTTTAATTATTTACTTTTACCAACTCTTTTCTTGTTTCTATGCCATGCATCGTCGTACCAAGAAGTTTTATCTATGGCTGATAAATTGATGGGTTTGTATCTTTTTATGTGTGACATTTTTTTCAATAAAATCTCGGTATTTAATTAAAAAAAAAGATTTAAATATAAAAAAAAA